TTTTGTTTAGTGTATTTATTCATAAGTAACAAAATTTTTTTATTAAAAAGTATTGCATAAATTCCTTTAAATTTGTTAAATAAATTTCATTATATGAATATACAACTCCTTTTTATTTTTATAATATCTCCGTAAAAATTACAATATTAATTATTAAATACCACTTTCATACTCAATTTAATTACTGTAATTATTATGTATTCATATATTATAATTATAAATCGGGGTAAAATTAAGGGAATAAGTGTTATTGTTGTTTTTGAAATACTCTACCAATTTCATTTTTTTCTATTTAATAATATCTATTTCAAACTTGCAAGTTGAGTTAAAAGTTATGGTAATAAATTCATTTTTTTTTTATTAAAACTTTCACTTTAAAGAACAAAAAGAAGTAGGTTCAAAATGATTACTTTTAACATATTAAAAATCAATAATAATTTGAAAATAATTAATTATAAAAATTATATAATATATAATTAAAATAATTACTAATCTGGATATAATTAAGGAAATAGGAGTTGATGTTGGGTTGGGTTGGTTACATTTTTAACTTTATAATGCTATAACTCATTGAAAAGTGTACGAATCAACACAATTTTTTTATGAGAAATAATATTTTTTAATAATCCCTTTTTCATTCGACATACTTTATCTTAATCAGGGTATTAATAAGGAACTAGCAGATCATGCAGCTTTTGTAATTATCCACCAATTTCATAGAATTAAACACTATCTACTGATTTGCATCGAAGCGTTTCTTATGATAGTGATTTTAATCACTGTCAGATTAAATCTATACTGGACCCAACTATGCAACGTCCCCACTATGCCGCGACTCCACTGTGCTGGGTTTTTTTTGATATAATTACGCACTCTGAAGTTGAAAAAAAAATGATAAAGATCGTAATATTTCAAATTATATTTGTTATTAATATTTCCATTTACCCCAAAACCAAATTTCCATTTACCCCAATTGATTTTTATTTTGTATTTTACAAAAAATATATAATTCCATAAAAAAAATGATATTAAACTAGTTTTAGGGCCGTATAGTAAATAAGTAAATATGAAATGACAATTTAGTTCAAACTGTACTGTTCTACTTATATTTTTGATGAAGATGCCCTTCTCAAAAGCCGTTGAGCAGAAAATATAATCTAAAATAATCATAAACACTTTTTCGAGTGATAACAATTTATACATATCCTCAAATTTTCCATATTTTTATCATTGCACACTATTATACCTTATGTGTACTGTGGTTATAATGATACCGAATTCTATAATCACTAATAATTTATTTTAAATAATATTTTTTTCCTTTTGCCCCAATTTCCATTTACCCCACTTGACCCTATTTATTTTCAATGTAATTTTTAATTTTCAATGAATTAAGTGGTTATTCATGAACCACTTAATTATATTGCAATAAATAATACTATTTTAATTTTTAACAAGTAAAATAATATCTACTTGAATTTTTATCATTCGCTGATTAAATTACTAAGGGTTTATTTTAAGTTCTAAACAAATGCAATCTATGTTTATCCAATAATATTACTTTATAGACACATTAGAAAAAAGAATAGAATAATAAAAATAACAAATAAAACTACAGAAAAATTTTGCATATTATAAATTTATAATATGCAGCATTTTTCCATAGGTATAAAGTATCGCTTTGCTGTGTAGACTGTTACTGATTACCCACCTTTTGGTTGAGCATTACAATAACGGATCACATAACTATTTTCTTGCATTTATTGCAAACTGCAAAATAGAAAATAATTATTAAATAAGACTGGACTGAAAATATATAAGATTCGATTTATATAAATGTTATACAAAATATATGGAATTTTCAAATAAACAAAATGATTTTATTTATAACGTTCTTTTAAGAAGAAGATATGGAAAAATCCTGTATTCTCATTATTACATCACCCCAAATAGAATTGGTAACTATATTCAAGAAATTCTAGATAATTTTTGTTTTAAATTGTTTTTATTCTGTTGACTTAATGTCATTTCTTTATATTAATTTTTTCACTAATTTTCTTCGTCTTTATACCACTTTCTTGGGGTCAGCCTATCTTATCCTAAACTTCCATTTGATAAGATCTCCACGTCAGCACATCTACGCACACATCAGCAGTCCTTATATTGCATTCAATAACATTCCTCCGTCTTTTTTTTTTTGATCTTCCTCTACTTTTTCATCCTTCATCATTCATTTCCATAATTGATCTTACAGCTTTCGATTCCTACCTCCTTATGACATGACCAAACTATCTAAGTCTATTTTCTCTTATTTTATCCACGATTGACGCTATACCTATATTCCCTTTTATATATTCGTTTCTTATCCTATCTTTTCTAGTGACTCCGAATCATACACGTCTTTTATTATAATAGTATACCTTTTTGGGATTCATTTTCTCATTAATGCCTACTTTAAAACTTCTCTTGGTACTCTATTATATTCTTTCTTCAAATCTATAAATACCATACGCAGCTTTTTCTTCTTTTCCCTATAATTTTCTATTAGTCGTCTCACACAAAAAACTGGCTCTATCATTGAATTTCAGGCAAAAAACCGAATTAGTTTTTTTGTTACTGACAATCTCATTCTATATATATCCTTTACCTTTAATATCGGCACTACAATATTCCATTATTCCTCATTCCTCTATTCTTAGACGTAGACACAAAAAGTAGTACACAAATTAACTAATGTTTTTGTCGACGAGTTCGTCGTTTAAGCTCTTTTCGGGTCCTCCCGTTGGATACACTGGTCAGCCTCAATCCCTCTAATTAGTGAACTACTAAAGGGGTAGAGTTTAGACCCGTCAGTACGGTTTAGCTCAAAAGTAGCAGACTGAAGGGTGGCTTCTAGTAAGTCACCAGCACAACTACCTTTTCACTATACCTACTAAAGGACGGTTAAGTCCAAAAACTTGCCAGCACGCACACTAATTATTAAGATTAACTAAAGGACCAGCAGTCCAACCTCGACTCTTGTTGCACACACACACACAATTTTAACAGCACGGTCAATATAAAATATTTAAGCTAAGTGCAGGTTTTTACAGAGGCGGAACTACATATGTGTAAAGGCGGGATTTTCCGCGGGCCTCGTTGTTAAAGGGGCCTCATAGCGAAATTTTTAATTATTTATCTTATTTAATAAAAAAATTAGTTCATTGTATTAATCATAGAAATATTAGATGCAATGCATTTTGTAACATTTCAAGTAAACAAAAACATGAGATATTGAAATATTATTATTCTAATATTCACCACGAAAACGAACCGATAAGGGTATAGACTATAGTATATTTTTAAACGTGTTTTGTGTTGTGTATATGCGTTATCTGATGTCAATACGAGAATTATTTATAAAAATATATTTTCTTATCGCTGTTAGGCGGCGATGCGTTACTCGAAATGTATTTTACTTGTTCAGTGGCGGAACTACGTTAACTTTGGTGATTATAAATTATCATTTTTAAGACGATCCTATTATTCGGCGACAGAGAAAATCAACGTCTTAGACGTCATTTGTAGTACTTAGGTAAATACTAAAATTAAACAATCTGATATTAAAACTAATGACTGAATATATTTTTTTACGTACTTACCGACAAGGTATAACATGTAATTATTTAAGTTTAAACATAGTATTAGTAGGTATAAAATAGTATCGTTATTTGTTTTTAATTTAATCTAATACATCATAAAACATTATAAAGTAGACTTAAGATTTAATCTAAAGAACTGATGTTATTATTGTCTATGTAATTTTTAATTTTTTAACCCGTCGTTGGTAAACTTATGTTACGGATCACGATTGCTAAACTGTGAGCACCGCGCTCACACGTTACTTTTTCCTTTATTATTAATTACTCGATCAACTCAAAAAATTGAATCATACATAGAAAAGTATCATTTTGCTCACTACCAATTGGTAAAATATTTTTTGTAAAATACTAGTATTTTTATTATTTATGCGACTGGTATTGTGAGTACCAGGCGCAGGTTCAGAAATGTCACTGCCCGATTCATTTTCAAAAAATTGGACGGGGTCAACACTTGGGTTGACATAAGTCTTCTAAAAACTGTTCTACAGTCTTCTCCAACAAAGATTAAACTTTATTGGCCATTATTTTGAAAAAAAATAAACGTAAGCAATTCAAAAAATATGAAATTGATAAACTGTGAAAGCGACGCTCACTTTATCGGTACAGTTAACTTTGCACACTGAAAACTTGAGGAAATACAGATAGCGGCTTTTTTTTTTTGTAATTATTGGTAAGCTTTTATTTGAAGGTAATAAGAGAATCAAGCAAAATAACAAACATTTATGTGACTGACGTTTAAAATGCTATTTGTGTGAGCGCCGCGCTCACATGTTTACCAATGACGGGTTAATTATTTTCAACATAATATTTGAAATTTCAATATTAAATTTATTCTGATATTTCATTTAAAATTCTAATTGCTTATACAAATAATATTAATAATAATATAAAATATAGAAAGAAAACGTATTGTTCTTGTGTTATAATTTTAGTGCACAACTTGACTTTGAGAATTTCGTTTTATAATGAATGGTCCGAATAAAAAAAGATTTGAGAGTGGAGCGAGTAAACGAAAACGTAAAGCAGAAGAAGAGCAAAAGATTAAATTGTTGCCGTCTGTTTCAAAGTACTTTATCAAAAATTCGGAAATTGAACCATCTTTTTCTACAAACTCTTTTTCAGCCAATGTAACACAAAATATGCCATCAAGTCCCTTACCTTCTTCTTCAGTCACCACTATTGCACATGAAACATCATCTAGTTTCTCACCTTTATCGACCAACGAATTTTTAGGTAAAATACCATCCAGCTCTTCATCTTCGTCCCCAAGTAACAATATATCAGATTTAAATTTTTTTACTAAGCTTCTGATGTTACCAAACCCTACTGATATTGGTCATTTTAGCCATCTAAATCAGTTGCCTGACGCAGCAAAAAAATTTATTGTTGAATATGGACCATGCCAACCTAAAGGACCATTCTATAGATATTCAGATAATCGTGTATCTAATTTATCGTTCAATGAGAAATATTATTATTCTGGGTCATCAATGTCTGGTGGAAAGACAATTAGACTATGGTTGAGTTATTCGATTATTCGTCAAGTTGCATATTGCCAGCCATGTACTCTGTTCGGGAATAGATTAAAAAATAAACAAACGTCATGGATTGACGGATTTGATGACTGGGATCACATAACGATTGCTATGAACCGTCATGAAAGTTCTACATTTCATCTTGTGTCATGTAAAGCTTATAATATGTATCATAAAAATTTAAGTATAGACTGTCAAATAAAAAAGCAAGACGCTTCTGAATCTGAATATTGGACCGCAGTTTTGACACGTATAATAGATATATCGATCACATTAGGTGGCCAAAATTTGTCTTTCAGAGGCCATAGAGAAGATGCTAACTTCAAAAATAATGGAAATTTTATGGCTTTAATAAGACTTCTAGCCAAATATGATCCAATATTGGCAACACTTCTAGAGAAGCCAAAGGGAAGCATAAAATATCTTAGCCACCAAATTCAAAATCAAATAATTGCATTAATAGAAAGTGAAATAAAGAAAAATATAATATCTGATGTTACCTCCGGGCCATTTTTTTTCCTTAATTCTAGATTCAACACAAGATATAAGCAAGGTTGACCAAGTTTCTACGATATATCGGTATGTACATATAGAAAAAAATGAACTTGGAATTCCTAAAAGTATTGAAATAAAAGAAGATTTCATAGGTTTTTCTGAAGCAGAAGGAAGTACAGGTGAAGCAATAGAAGAACAAACAGTTAAAACATTTACAGATAATGGTCTTGATATTGGTAAATTTAGAGGAATTGGATTAGACGGAGCAGCAAGTATGAGTGGTAAACATAATGGCTTGCAGGCTCGACTTCGGAAACGACAGAAAAAAGCAAAATATGTTCATTGTGCATCGCATAATTTAAATTTGGTGATAAACGATTCTGTGAAAGATATTACGGAAATCAGACAATTTTTTGAGATGTTAGAAACTCTATATACTTTTTTCGGAAACAGTATACTTCGATGGGCAAAATTGAAAAAAGAAAGCTGTGAAATTTCTAGATCACTCAAAAGGCTGTGCCCAACACGATGGTCGTCTAGAACTGATTGTTTGATATCACTCAACCATATGTACCCAGATGTTATGAAAGTTTTAAACAACATTACGTTGACCGGGCGTAATAAGGATGAACAAAACAATGCCTCCACACTCAAAAAATATTTCGAAAGTTATGAAACAATTATTTTAATTCTATTGATGTATAAAATATTGTCAAAAATTAATTTAGCATCTAAAATACTTCAATCGCCTGGAGCTGATATTGGCAAAGCTGTTGATTTGATAAAAAGCACATTGGAAAATATGGGGAAAATTCGCGATAACTTTAACATTTTAATAGAAGAAGCTAATTCTAAAGCATTACAATGGAATGTAACGCCCGAGTTTTCTTGCATACGAACGAGAAAAGTAAAAAAATTTTATGGTGAGCTATGTCAAGATAAACGTCTTTCAGAAGGAAACCATTATTTTAAAACTCAAGTTTTATATCGATGTATTGATACTGTTGTTACACAATTGAAAACAAGATTTGTAGGCCTTAGTGAAATAAATGATTTATTTAGTTGTATTTTACGACCAACTGTAATATCTGATGAAGAGATCGGTAAGAGTGCAAAAAAGTTGGCAGAGGCATTTGAGGACTTTAATCCAGCAGAACTTACAACACAAATCGAATCATTTAAATTTCTGTTTGCTTCTGAGCTTAAATCTTGTCGCAGCGTTTTTGATATGACTAAATTACTAATAATTGATAATAATAATTTAATTACTAGTTTCCCAGATTTGTTAACAGCATTTTATTTGTTCCTTACATTACCGGTTACTGTGGCAAGCGCAGAGAGGACATTCTCAAAACTTAAATTAATAAAGAATTATCTCAGGAGCACCATGTGCCAAACACGGCTCAGTGGCCTTGCAATGATTTCAATTGAAAATGAACGGGCTAAAAAATTGAATTTGTCGTCATTAGTTAAGTTATTTTCTCAAGATCGTAGCAGAAAAAAAAGTTTTCAAGTATAAGTATATTCATATTTGTAATTTTTTAATTCAATTTATAATTCAATAAGTTCTTAATAAACTATACAGTATACATAATTTAATTACATAATTATATACACATTTTTAAATGTGTATAAACTAAAATCCCTATGTCAGCTGAATTTGGTTACAGATATAATAGGGCCTCCGAAAAATTGTATTCACGGGCCTCAGTAAACGTAGTTCCGCCACTGGGTTTTTAAATAGTTTTTTAATTTAAGAAACATAATAAACACAAAATCAAAGTTTAATATAAAAATGTAACACAAAATAAATTAAATCGTACAAAATACAAAGTTATTCATATCTAACATCCTGACCCGTAACTCGACGTTTCTTCGTCAAAATGTCCAGGTTCTTTATACTTTTCATGTTTGCCTTTTATATTCTTTTTCCCACCATTATTAATTTGGTTACCCTGCATTTCCCTTTTACATGACATTATTATATTGCTTAAGAATTCAAAAATTGCTTATTACTGTTGTACATTTTATATAATACTAAAATCGACGTTATTCAATACTTCCTCAGCTATTTACTACACTCCCCTATGTTACAAAAAAAAATATGCCCTCATATTTTTGGAAAATTAACTTTGGTTAATTACAATACTAAATGAATGTAAGGAAAAAGATAGATTAATATATTTTGTGTCAGTTTCCTTTTAGAAATTTTTTGTAAGAAAAGTTTTGTACTCCGTGTTTGTTTCGACAGATAAAGAAATCTGTTTCCTTAAGGCTTAACATATTACTATTTTTGTAACATATCCCTAACATTTGTTTAAAATAAAGTTCCCTTGTTTTTAGGTTTGTTAATGTCAGATAAAATGTTTTTCTTTTATCTTTACCTTCTGTTGCAGAAATGTTAAGAACTGTAACCTCTATCTTAAGTCTTTTTAAAATTTCACCGTCCATATTTCTGAATAGATAAGACTTATAGAATCGTTAATTTTAAAATGTAAAGTTATATGTTGGTATAATTTCCAATCTGCAAAGCTCTCACGATGTCAACAAAAATCGGCGGGAGGGTTTGTTTAAAATTAGTTCAAATAACGACTCTCAGAAATTTTAAAATAACAAAATCCGACTTGAGAACGGCAAAAAATTTCCCTGCGATTTGAAAAATCATTTAGTAGGGTTTATACATTACAACATGGAGTAAATATTTATTAAACCAATAATCAACATAAACTATAATGGACAACGGGCAACGAAAATATTAAATGTTATTCACATATACACGCGCATAGTCTTAGAAACAATATTAATAAAAAATTTGAGTTTTCTTTTGTAAAACAAAATATTATAACATGACATGTTATTACATTTGAAAACAAATAAACACAACTCTTGTCCTACCATTGTCAACACTGATAGCTTTATTATTTAAGCGCTTGCGCATGTGCATTAGCGTAGTTTGAGTTATTAATTTTATAACTAAATTAATTTTTTTCTATTAAACTCTTAATTTAAATAAGAATTTATGATTTCTATATAAAATTTATAATTATCCGTTAATTAGAACTTATGTCAAATATAAAAAAAAAATCAAATCAGTTTAGATTTGTAAACTGATTAATTAAGTAGAGTTAGTTTGTTATTTTGTGTAATCATTCTTTATTATCAACGATTTATCAATGTAGTCCTTGTGTATTAAAAAATTTAATTTGTGTTGAAATACACTTAAGTTAATTTGTTAATTTATCAAATAACTCATTAATTGTTAAATTAAATCATAACTTTCATTAAAAATATCATAATGGAAGATAATTATGAGACTGAAGGTAATTTTTTCATTATAAGATTAATATAATTATTTGTAACCATAATAATAGATAAAACTAATTTTTGATGTAATAACATAGATACTTTAAAATAAAATAATATGTAAAATGTTGGATGATTATTCTTAAGATTGTATTATGCTGTTTCTTGTTATAGAATAATAAATCTTACTTAAAAAAAAATGTCAAAAAACTTGGAACATGTATTATTAAATGTTAAATATTTATCACTTAAGAATTCTTACCTTGATATTTTAATTTATCCACAAATTGAATATTAGTATATAATACAAATGTTTTAATCTATATATTATTTATTAATGTTATTTTTATTTTTAGGGTATGACAATGATTATCAACCAAAAGCTAAAGGGAGTATTTTGACGAGAAAGAACAATACATTACCTGTATGGGGTTCGGAACGTACTATGAATTTAAATTCACTGATATTAACTAATATACAATCTTCTCATTATTTTAAAGGTAATCATCTTAAATCTTAATGTTTAACTGATTTATAAAACATAAGGAACCTATTAATCTGATATGTCTGGTTATGATCTTTTATATATTAAAATAAAATAAATGTTTAATAATCATCTTCTGTTATATATTTTTTAGTTAATTTGTATGAACTTAAAACCTATCATGAAGTTATAGATGAAATTTATTATAAAGTTCAGCACCTTGAGCCATGGGAGAAAGGAAGTCGAAAAACTGCAGGACAAACAGGAATGTGTGGCGGTGTTAGTATCAATTCATTTTTGTTCTAGTGATGTATTGAATTTATCTTTATTTATTTTGTAAGAGTAAACATAAAAAATATTTTTGATTGTAGGTGCGAGGTGTTGGAGCTGGAGGAATAGTATCAACAGCATTTTGTCTACTTTATAAACTTTATACTTTAAAGTTGACTCGCAAGCAAGTAACTGGTTTAATTACTCATTGTGATTCACCTTATATTCGTGGTTTAGGTTTTATGTATATAAGGTAATTTATATTATTTAATCCAAAATAAGATGTTTAATTTACTAAAATAATCATTTTAAATATTTAAACCATTATTTTTTAATCTTTTTACTTTATGGTTTTAATTATTTAGGTACACTCAACCTCCTGGCGATCTGTGGGACTGGTATGAATCATTTTTAGATGATGAAGAAGTATTTATTTATTATATTTATGTAGCTTTAAATAGAAATTTATTATTTAATAATAAGTTTCATCATTTTATTTTTACTTTAGGAAATAGATGTAAGAGCTGGCGGTGGTCAAACAATGACTATAGGGAATATGTTAAAAAGCTTTTTGTTCAAACTAGAATGGTATTCAACATTATTTCCAAGAATACCTGTGCCTATCCAGGTAGGTATGTCGGAAAAAAAAATTTCAACAGAAATAATTTAATAAGTCCCACTCTGTAAATTAAAAACAAATGAATTAATTAATTAATCTTTTTAATTTGATTGTTGAATATTATAATATTAAATTTTAAATCTTAACTAAATATTAATTCATATAATTTTTTTTTTCTATTATATATTGAGTTCTTGTTTAATATTATTGGGAATTTAAAAATTTGCCATACAATTTTTTTATAAAATATTTTATTGTATAGGGTAATATTTATTACCCTTCTCCTTAAAATGATTAAAACTAAAGAATTTAGATATTTAAAAAACAATGACTTATTATTTAGGTATTTTCATGCTTTTAATTTTGTCATTATAGCATAATTTTTTTTTTTTATATAAGTTTTATTAAATTTTAGCAACAAATGGAAAAAAAAATGAATGAGAGATACCCTAAAATTGCAGATGAAGTACCCCGAAGAAATTCTGATAGAAATTATAGGTAAAAGCCAACTATTTATAAACATTTTAAAGAGTTTAATAATTAAAAAAAATAATAATTAATCTTCAGTAGCTAAACATTTATTGACATATAACTTAATATTAAAACTATAAAGCTCAAACTGCAAATAAAATAAAAATAATTAAAATAATTGGGTATATAGATTGCAAAATTTGTTATTAAAACTTGCATAAACTTACAAAAATTTGTCAAAATCAAATGGATGATAATATTACAAGGAATATATATAGCGTGATTGGTTTATCATAAACCACTAATTACTCTCAAAATAAATACAATATTGAATAAAAAAAAATGGTTTTTTTTTTTTATCAACTAATCAAGACTTTTTAAAATCATTCTTTATAAATTAAAGGGGTGTCAATTTTATTTTTTTAAATGACGAAATGTATATTTAATTGGCTTATAAAACAGAAAATAATCTAATTAAAAAAATGACTGGTTGATAACAACTTTTGGACCAGTACTTTGGAAGTTATTCTCATTTTTATACATAAGCGAGACAATGATGATGGCCAAAAAATGACTAGTGATGAAAATAACAGCACAAATTGTTTATAACTTGTGAAATACTGGCCTAAAAGTTGTTATCAACTAAATTGATTCTAAAAAGTATTCAAGAAATACATGTAACTAAAGAAATCAACATTTTTTTCCTAATATTTCTTTTGAGAATAATCAAATGGTTTATTATAAACACTATGACATACACTCAGTATAGAGTGTATTTTTCAGAAGAGGTGCCATTATTTGTTTAACGCTGATGATAATTATTTGGTTATCTAAATATGTAATTATGGTTTTTGATCAGAATATTTTTGTGGTTTTTAGATTTTTGTATTATTAATATTACTTAATTTTTGTTAATATTTATTTATTTATTTGTTGATTCATTAACTTCATAAAATAATTATTGTTTTGTATTTTGATCAAATGGAACCAAAAAGCAAGTACTTGAAAATTTCATAATACAATGACATCGTGGTGGTATTTGACGGAAACAAAAAAGTCATAAAAAACAATGGCGTCTGATTTATTTATTTTTATATTATATTTACATGATACCAGTATCCATAATCATTGTAACTATAATGAAATATTAGGAATACTTACTAATTTACTTTACCATAAAAAGTATTTTAATACATATTTTAAAAATTGATTTGTGGGAAGCTAATTCTTCAACTAAGAGGTATATGTACCAAGAATTTAAGAATTGGATTTAAACATTTTTCGGAGTAACATTTTTTTTTTTTTTTGGCTTGTAAAATTAATTTTACTTGAGTCCCTAGGGAAAAATTAAAATCGTACCCTGCTTAACAATGTATTTTTCTTAGCATCCGAGGAAAGAGGAACTACACCGCAACTTTTACAATAGCTAAATCTTGATATATGTTAATTAGTGAAGTATTTTGTTTTTGGGTGAAATTTTATTTTTGGTAAGTTACAACTTTTTTGTTGGTAACTTTTGTTCTAAAATAAACAAAACTAAATATTCATCTAGCTGGATGTAGTTATATATTTATGTTTTACTTGATTTAATTTGTTTAGCAAGGTAAAAGTACACCATTATGGAAGAAAATGAAAAAAATAATTTCTTCTTTTGATGAGGTTATCAAAATTTAAATAAATGTAGTTATTTTATTTATTAGTACTAGCAACTTAATTATTTTAATAAAAGTAGGCTATAATATATTTTAATTTAGTTTTTTGCATCTTGTTATTTCCATTACAAAAAACCACTTAACTTGACAATTGGAGAATTCTATTTTTTTTTTAAATATATAATACATAAAAAATATACAGAATAATCAATTTTGTGTTAGACACTCTACTTTCAAAAACTATTGACAATTTTTAATTTTAAAAACTACATAATATGTACTCAAATAATTTTTTCCTTAAAGGGATAAAAAATAAAAACCTTCATTTCAATTTTCTTAAATAGGAATTTTTCTCAATAAATTTTAGAAATAAATAGAGAAAAAAATTACAGAGTTTTATTTCTTTTAGTTTTTTTTTATTCTATCAATCTGATCATCTGTTACAGAATGACAAAGGTTTGTAATATGAGATCAATTTGCTAATGATATTTTATTATTTAAAATAATAGTAGTCTTTATTTTTTCATTTTATCACATAAATTAGTATTAATTGTCAAATATATCATCTAACTTACAGAAATATTATCATTAATAATCGTATATACTTATATTCACCACAAGTTTACTATCATATTGTCGGTCATTATCATAGAAAATTTTTATTGGTAACTATCTTGAAAAATAATTAATGGTCTATTAAAATAGATTATTGCTGCCTATGGCATTTATAAACCAAATTAATGATCAATTTTTATTTTAAACTAAAATTTTTAAGCAATATTAAAACTAATGGTTAATTGAATAAAAAAAAAATTATAAGAACAGAATTGTTTGTAATTTTTTCTCTATCTTATTATCAAGTGGAAAAAAAAGAATAATTTAATAAAACTAAGATTAAGTTTTTTATCTTTGAAGGGATGAAAAATAAACTATTGAGCATTACCTTCTAAATACTCGGTCAGTTGACTGTCCACTTTTCAGTAGTAGGTACTTATAATATATAGGGTATTTAGTAAGTAAAGAAATGGGTAAATTATTATTTAAAAAAATGAAAGCAATTGAAACCCGTTTCCTTAATTATTTAACACGCTATATAATGTATTACATAATTTAAACCAAATAATTCTTATTACAAAAGTTAAAATGTTTCAGAGAAAATGAATATCTTATCCAAAATTGATCATTCTTTATAATTACTAATTTTTAACTAAAAATGTTATGCTTTGAGTAAAGGGTCTAAATAGGTAAATTTATAAAATTAGTTTAATTATACTTGAGCCCATCAAAATCATAGATTTCAAAAGAGCAAACTATTTAATTAGTGAATCACAAATAATAAAGAAAATGGCAAACTTATAATAAAAAGAAAAAGTTGTTGGTGTTAATTTATAATTGTTAAAACATGTGTAACATTATTAAAAATAAGTTTAATAATAAATAAATATTTTCTAGCCGTGGCATGGATGACTATAGAAATAGAGATTACCCTGATACAGTAAGATCAAGAGAAAGAGGTGACCGTAATGATCGTAAAGATAGATCCCATAGAGAGAGTCGTGATAAAGACTATGAACGTAAATCAAGTTATAAGAGTTCAAGAGAACGGTATATTTCATTTATTAAATATTAATTATTAATGTCATTTAAATTATCATTAGACTTTGTTCTAAACAAAATTAATTTGTAGGTCACCATATTCGAGTCGTAAAGACAGCTACAGAAGGAGGTAAATTTTTATTAACATTATTAATTATTGCAAAAATATTAATTTATATCAAACATAATAAATAATATATATATTTTTATAAAATTAACTTAAAATAAAACAGTTGAATAATTTAATTATGCTATTTTTTAGCTATTCTAGAAGTCCAAAACGTGGTAGTAGTAGTAAACGTGATCGAGATGGATATAGGTATGTATTTAACTGTTGCAATTAAAAATATTTTAGTATAATATTGTAATATAATAACATATATTTTACATAATTTTACTTATTCTTAAACATATATATTTACAGGTCGAGATCAAGATACTAACTCTAAGAATTAAAATTGACAAATTTACATTGTTTACAATGTAAAACTTTAATTATAAGTTGTATATACTTCAAAAATAATTTTTTTAAAAAATATAAATTTTAGACAAATATAAATGCATACTTCGTCATTCATTAAAACTTTGTTTCCATGAACTATAATGATTAGTATTTTGTTTTTGTTCATCAATTTTAGTTTTAATTATTGGATGGAACTGTGATTTTTGTTTTAAAAAGCTTGTTATTTTTTCCCATATACTTTCATCCTTTTGTCTTTGTTCTACTTTAAAATGATCTTTATTTTTGCATTTAAAATATTGATCTGTAATGTTGTAAATAGTGTCCTTATCATAAAGAGGAATCCAATAAGGTTTATCAGCTTGAATTATTGAGTCAATTACGTATTTATTTAGTAAACCATTGACATTACGGCTGTACATAAAATCAATATGATTAAACTTTTCATAATTAATTAAATGAATTCCCAATCGATGTGGCAGGCGAGTGTATAATTCCATAACATCCTATTAAAAAAAAATTAATATAACAGTTTTGTTGCCAATTCATCATGATTATGAATAGAAGTACTGAAAGAAACTATGAGATATGCTGGCTTAAGTTATTTTATAAATTTTGTTTATTAACATAGGTAACTAGTTTAACCTGTTTAAATTTACACAATGTTCATCATAACTTTTTTAATTGATATATTTCTTATTACAAAAATTAACAGAAGTTTGGTTATTGATAAATAGTACCTATTGGAGATCTATTTTTTTAATTTAGTTTAAAATTGAATATCATCGTAATAGTAATATATGAGGTAAAACTGAAGTAGATTTAATTACTTAAATCGTTTTACAATAAAATATTTATAGATTATTCCAAAAGCTTTTTTTTATTTAATAGTTTATCGATGAAGATAAAGTGCCGAATAGTTAAATTAGTAATTACACTTTCATTAATTACTTTTTATTAAATTATTAAGCTAATGAACTTTACTTACCTTAGGATCTGAAAGGTAATCATTTTTTGAGTAATAAAAGTATGTCGGGGCTATAACATTGCTTAAATTGTAAATTGGTGGATGTGTACAATTGTAAATTATAATATTATTTTCAATTCCGTAATCGTATTGTTGAAAGTTTCCTGTACAAATTTTAATTATGAATTACGTCTTTAAGATTGAATTTATACAATTTTATAGATACCAGAAATTATTTCTTGTGCAAAATGCATTAATGTTTTTGCTGATGAACCAGCTGGATTATGAGCTAATATGACTGGCAAGAGAGACTAAAAACAATAGTTGTACATAATATATACAAAAACGTGTTAAGCAATTTTAAACATTAAGTAATATAAAAACCAATACACTTTCGCTAATCTTAGAAATCTAATAGTATAGGATTTATATAAAACTATATTAACTTAAATAAAAAGTGTAATATTTTGTACAAATTATACTTATTAACTATAATTTTTATGTTATGGACCCGAAACGCCCTATATGCCGTTAGCGTAAGTTCACCTTTAATTTTTCTCCCTTTAAAAAAACAATTATTATAGAACAATGCAAATAATAATTTTGCTAAATTTCTGTGTAGCCCCTTTTAACCTCCATTCTACGTTTATAATGCCAACCTAAATACACTTAAAAAAAAAAAAAACACTTACAGCATTAAATTGTACTGGATCATCTCCAAATAATTTATATACAAGATATTTTTTACATAACATTGCTTCTGTAGCTGCATTTTCTCCACATAAATACTTATTGACCAACTTACTGACAGTATTTTGTGGTAAGAATGCTCCATTAGAAATCCAACTTGCCACTTTCTGAATATGATTAGTAAATTAGCTTACTCTCAAAGAACTAAATAACAAAGGCGTAATAACAAATTGGAACTTTCCAGGAATTTCAAAAAAAAAAAAAATGTTATTTTCAAAATATAATTATTTTTTCTTTGATTCATAAGTGCAACTAGAATACAAATTTGAGGGTACTATATTAATTTTTCACTCGCACTAAAAATATTTTAATATAAAATATTTAAAAATTTTGGGAGCTTATTATTTAACTGTTGAGGCTAAATCCCCTTTAGTTTGGAGGGTTGAAGGATCATTTAATATTCATCTTTCCCAAAATTATGCTAGTGTTAAAATTATAAAAAGAGAAAAACAACTCAATTTTATATTTACATTTATCTGATCCGCATAAGGCACTAAAGAAAATAACATCGATTTCATGTTTTTGACATAAGCTATTGGTGCTAAACTGACTTGCATTCTTATTTTGTCATTGTATTCTGGTAGAGTAGAACACATAACAAAAAATACACAAGTGCCCATTGAGTGTCCTATGTAGATTAACTGACTTTGATTTGTATAGTTCAGTATATAATCAATTGTTGCTGGTAAATCATAATAACCAATTTCATGAAAACTAAAAACTAATAAAATTAGTTTAACGAAAAATAGGCTATCATAAAAAATATTAATATATTATCTTATTTGACTGTCTTATTTGTTGCACATTTTGATATGTAGAAGGGTTAACATTTTTTTATCGACTGAATAACTTTAAAAAAAATTTTTTTATCATTCTCAAATTTTGAAAAATGATAGGCTAAAACAATAAAATATTTCCGGGGGTTTTCCTTGCAATCCCACTTAAGGTATCTCTGGTTATTGTAATAAATAAGGGAAGTGCGGGTAATAAGGTCTAGTTTGTATACGGACTAACTAGGCCTTATTACACGTACCTACCATACTTACATCTATCACTCGTTTCTAAATTATACGACAAGCTATTGGCAACTATAATTTTATCTTTACTTTTATTATCTCCTTAAAATTGAATACAATTATGAGGAGTAACAATTGAGATCTTATTGATTATTTATACTGCCATAGTTATTTTATAAATCCTAATAGATTTATTTGTTTTACCTATAGTTCCAGAATTTTTCATTTTCTGGATCAATACTAACGTGAGAACGAGAATATGTGTTTCCTCTAGAATTTCCTAGCCACACATCAAAACCTTGATCAGAAAGTTGATAAGCTATAAAAATTCAATTAAAAAATTAATAAATAAAATGAAATATTAGATATTTTCTAATTTTTACCAACCCAGAGAATTTTTTGGTCCACTAATCACCCAATCGGCAGAACTGGCTAATACCCCATGTTGTAAGTATATTGGATACTTCCTAATATTGTTATTGTTGGGTATCCTATGGACTTCTAATAAATAACCATCTTCTGTATTAATAATATGGGCTTCAGATGCATAACCATGGCGTTTAATAATTTTTGGCTAAATAATGAATATATACATATATATTTGTATGGCAAAAGTATTAGGGTATAACATGTTAAGCATAATAGGTACGCGTTAGGCATAAATGTTTGGGAGGTCTAACTTAATTTTTCCTTTCCTTAAAAATATTTCTATAACAAAATACATGTAATTATCATAATTTATGGAGGGCTTTGACAGAATTTTTAAGTCTCGACCCTCAGATTGCATCCATGCACGTTTTCCAACAGTGATCCAAAGAGTGCTAGGAGCAACAGCTTCTTTATAAATGTTGGTCAGTTCTTAAATTACATTAAAAACGCATTTTATCAAAATAGATATCTAACTAATTTCTTTTTAAATATCGGGAGGATATTTTCTAACTCAGTTAAATAGTAAATTACTGAACATTTCAATTTTTATTTTCTGCAGAATAATTATGGAGAATAAAAAAAAAATGAGAATACGACTACCTCAAAATTATTATGAAAAATTAAACAAGTTTAATATAAAAAAAAATTATTTTTAATTTTATAAAGGTACACAATTAAAAAATTTGCCAAAAATGTTATTACATACTTACCACGCTCAATGAAGCATCTGGAATATAAGTGCATTTATATAATTCTAAAGTGTTCAAGAAAGAAATTGAAAAATAATAAATAAATTTTGGAAATAAAGTCATTTCTATCACACTTGTATTTGTTTACTATTATAATTGAGAATACTTTTCTGTTATAACATGACGTTCGATAACTGTAGGTAACTGTCAAAGTAGATCATATTTATACACAGTAATTATAACTATTACAGACAAATGACCCAGACCATTGTGTAACTATAATATGAGTTGAACCATGTACATTAGCTGATATGTACAAATACATCACATAATATTTAAACATATTTTGTTTTAATTTATATGATTCATATATTTTAATTTAATTTAATGATAATCTTATGACCTAATAATGTACTATATAGGATGAGTTACAAAAATATAACAAATCCATTGATTTTATTATATATTAAAAATTATTTCAAAACTTTTGTACAATAATAATTTTTCTGTAATTTTTTCAAACCAATTTTTGAATTTTGGGACTGCATCAAAAGCTTTTTTTTTTTATTATTTGCCTCTATTAAAAATAACTGTGAGGTTCTGTTACTGGACGGTTTACTCATCATTATGTTCATGTCATTTTAATTAAATATGTGATTATCATTATTACTTGTTATTTTATTTATCAATAGGTTGTAATATTTTTTTATATAATAAAATAAATAAATAAAAAATATCATACAATTTATTATTATTATTTTTTAATTTTAAAATAAACATTTTCTTACAAAAGTTTTAAAGCACCAATATAACTTAAGCATTAGTTCTTAATAAGTTAAAAGTATTTTAATCTATAAAAAGTGGTATAATGGATTTGTGATATTTTCGTGGCTCGCTCTGTATATGCGATATTTTATAAAATAATACTTTTAAAATGATCAAATATTAGGTTTTTACTATAACTTATTGTTATAATAATATTTAAATTAAAACGATAAATGAATGAATGATGATAACAAAATAAATGACTTATAGACATCAGTCTGAATCACCATCAATGGTTTTTGTTTGAATGTATATGTGTACATGTATCTATAATAATAACTATGAAAACAATTTTTAAAAACAATTAATGTACATTATTATTATTTTAGTAAATTTCAGAATATATGATATTTTTTTTACTAAGTAAAATATCTCCTACATATATAGTGGAACTTCGATTAACCGTCAATCGTTTATCCGTTATCAAAATTTAAAGACATATCTAAACCATAATCAGTGTAGAGTCATGAATAATTCATTAGACCCGTGTGAATGTATTTGTACAATTAAATATCTTTTTTTTGTTTTTCACAATTTTTAGATAAGCAATGATTAAAAAGATGGTCATAATTATGGTGATCGCAGTAGATACAGCTAAGTCACTTCAACCCTTTGATAGAAGTTTTAAGTACAACTCCGTTTTCACTTTAATAACACAACATTTTTGTAAATATTTTTTAAATAACTATTCATAACTTATATTTCGATTTTAGTTTCTTTATATATATATAATTATCTGAAATTTTGGATGATATCAATAATTTTAGATTAGTTAACTTTTCGTATATACTTAATACAAATTTAAGTAGATCACAAGAAACAAATAAAAATTTGAAGGTTAAATTTTATTTGTGTCATAAACCAAATTAGAATTTAAACATTTGAAAATATAGTAATTTACGTTAAGCTTAAAATTATAAATCATAACTAAGGATATTAAATTAAGTATGGTAATTATAATTATAATACACACATACTTCATTGTTACTATTAATGTATGAAAAACACTAATATTAGATACATGTCGGTATTTATGTTACAGTATGGCCTATTTTTGATATTTTTCTTGTTACACATTTTTTTGTATAGGCAGATAATTTTAACCAGATGGTCTTCTTAAGGATGCGTTAAGTTATTATAATTACTCTTCATATAATCATTATAGTTTATTTACTAGATTTATAAGACTATATTATAGTGTTTTTACATTTTTAAAAATTTGTCCTATACACATATAATTTAGTAATATGCCATAAAACACACAATAATAGGATTTGTGTTACACCAATTTTAAGTCATATTTTAAACAGTTTATAATTTCACGTTGCAATCACAATTTTCATTAAAACACGTACCTCAGTGGGTCAGACCTCATTAAAATAATAAGAACATGTTTACTAAGAGATCAAAAGTTAAAAAACCCATCACAGTGGGGTCGTGGCATAGTTGGGTCCAGTATAGATATCTGACAGTGATTAAAATCACTATCATAAAAAACGCTTCGATGCGAATCTGTAGATAGTGTTTAATTTAAAAAAATTAATGGATTATTCCAAAAGCTACATGATCTCCTATTTCATTATTTATATTCTGATTACAAGTTTTATGATTTAGAAGAGTAATATATGAATAAATAAATATATATATATATATATATATATATATATATATTAATAATATATAAATATAAATAGAACTTATCTCAAAAAAAATATAATGATCCATACAATTTTCAAAAAGTTAAAAATATAAAAAAGAATTTTTTTACAAAAATCGTACTTTTTTATTAATTTTGATGTCTGTTTTCACCATGAACACAAATTAAAGTCCGGAATTTTTTTTTTCCATCATAAAGTTTATTACATTAGCTTTAATTTAAGATATATATAAAAGTGTCAGTATTTCCGTAACAATTTCAAAACTTAAGTTGAAAAAGATCTACTTTCTATATGCATTTTTAAGTTTTGAACCCCTCCTGTATTAAGGGAAATGGTCCGATTTAAAAAAAAAGTAAGTCGAACGAAAGAAGTATATAAATATTATTTCTCATAAAAAAATTGTATTGATCCATATATTTTTCTAAAAGTTATAGCATTTTAAAGTTAAAAATGTAAAATATAAAATTGAGAATTTTAACACAAAAATAAAAACACAGATACGGTATCCATTTTCACCGTGAAGACAAAATAAAGTCCGGATTTTTTTGTCCATGATAAAATATATTACATAAGTTCTAATTTAAGGAATATATAAAAGTGTCAGAAAAAAAAAGTGTTGAAAAAGTTGTCATTTTAAATTCCCTCCTGTGGGCAGGTAAAGGGTCAAATTTATAAAAAATATATAAAAATTATAAGTAAAGACATCATACAACTATAAAAAAAAAATTATATTGATTTGGTCATTTTTGAAAAAGTTATGGCAGTTTTAAGTAAAAAAAAATGAAAAAATTTTGAAAATTAGCGTATTTTAAATTTGTAATTTTTTTGGAGGTTTCCCTCATTTACGGGGAACGAGGGATTTTTTTTCAATTTTGAAGGGTAATGTCTTCGACTAGATACGATTTATGATCTTTTGAGGTATCGTTGAAAGAAATCGGTTTGGTTATATCTTAGAAAAAGTGGTAACAGACACAAAAAAAAAAACATATCATAGTAAAACCAATAGCTTCTCAGCTTCGCATCGAAGCTAAAATAAATTTATTTTAATTTTATATATATAGTAAAAATAATTTATTAATAATTTTACAAAAATTCTCTTCCAATAAAATATTGAATAAATATTTTTCTATCGACGAACAGGGGCGTGAAAGACTCTTGTTTGTGACTGTGGGCACACATCTTAAACAATGGCATTAACATTTTATTAAAATATCAATAGCTGCTTTATTTCTAAATATAAAATTATAAGCTCCTACTTTTAAATATAGGGATATAATTTTTCGGGTTAATTACATATATAATTCAGAATATCTAATCTAATTAAAACCTTCGAAAAATAATTAAATTAAAGAAAATAACAGTTAATAGATAACATTACGTGTTATCAACACATACTTTCCTGAAGTCAGTATTTGCTTATGATCCAATTTTTCATAATTTTTTTGGCAATGTATAGGAAAATTGTATTGATAAATAAATCAAACTTTTAATTATTAATTTTTACTTAAAATATTTACAAATTCTTTCCCTTTAGTATTTTAAAAACTGAGTAGCTTATACTAATAAATAAATTCTTAGAACTATAAATGTTAAAAATGAATTTAAAGAAGATTATTAACTAAGTTGTACGATATGTATACTTTATTTAACACTCATATTTTTAAAAATCCTCAACAGTATATAATCGTTTTTAGAAACATATTTATACGATCAATTAATAATCCAAAAGATTCCTCAAAAATAAAGAGTCAACAATATACGAAATATTTTATCTTGGATTTTGAAGCGACTTGTGATAATGGTCCACATTTGCTAAGACCACAAGTAAGTGAATTATATTATATATAGACAAAAATTATAAATATTTTTAATAAATAATTCACATGTGAAATACACTTCAATTAGACTTTGAAAATTTAAAATTTTTATTAAATTTAGGAAATAATAGAATTTCCTTGTATTGCTGTCAATTTTTCTAATGGATACTTTGAACGTGTATCTTGTTTTCATTCTTATGTTAAACCAGTTATAAATCCAAATTTAACTGAATTTTGTACTCAACTTACAGGAATTAGTCAGGTTAGTATATCTTTTTAGAAAAATGAATTTATTTTAATAAAAAATATTTATTATTGATGTTTTCAGTTTATATAACTTATTTATACTTCTCTTTATACCTAAATTTTAAAAATAAGTTTGTATGAAATGAAAATATTATATTTCCATGTGTTTATCTATAATTTTTACAGAATGAAATAAACGAAAGCCCAAATTTTGACAAAGTATTTCAAGAATTCTGTAAATGGTATGAAAGACAATCAAGTATTGTCCAAGACAAATGTATTATAGTTACTTGTGGTAATTGGGATTTAGGTCGCATTTTGATAGAACAATGTAAATTATCTAATATTTCCATACCAAATTTTATGCATAAATGGATCAATATTAAGAAAGTAAAACTTTAAATTGATTTTACCTTAACTTTTTGTAATTATCTTTTTTTAAAGTTATATGCATACACTTTGGGTAATTATCCTTATGGTATTAAAAATATGATGATATCATTAAATCTGAAACATACTGGATCATTTCATAGTGGAATAGGTATGGTTATTTAATTATAGTTTTTTTATTTATACAATAATTTTATACAAATAATTGAATCTATCTATTTTTAGATGATTGTGAAAATATTGTTTCTATAATGAATTGTTTAGCTCAAAAAGGTTGCATTTTTAAATCAACAGATAGGTTAATAAATGTATGAGTATTAGGAACTTTATAATAAGTTTTATTGTATTATTTAAAATGGCTTTTGATTAAAAAAATATTCTTGATACTTAAAATTTATATTTGTAATTTTGTGGTTTTATGGCTAGTCATATATATATATATATATATTTTAGTACAATAATTTTATATTGAATTGAAAGATTTTTTTTTTTATTGAACTATTTAAAATATAGTTCCATGCCTTTTAAGTAAAATATAGTCATTTGGTTGCAGAACATTTCAAACACTTTAAGAAACTATGTATCCTTCCTAGTAGAGCAATTAGATAGCTATACTCACCAATCTTATTGTATATAATTTTTTATATGAACTGAAATTATTATTTATCATGGGTTCAACTAGAACAAAGTTTTATTTTTTAAAGGAAAATAGTCTCTCAAATTGCCTCTTTAGATACCTATTGATAGATACTAATCTGATAAAATTTTTATTTAAAATATTTCTATAAAACAAAATATACAATTTTTACTTGATAAAAATATTCTAATGAAATTATTTTTTTAAGGTTTACTCTCAAATATAGGAGTAATAATATATAGCGCAATAATCACTATATAGGTGTTCCACAATGTTGTTTTGACAAATCTAAAAACTTTGATTTATTAAATATTTTGTGTACCTTCATTAAATAATTATTTCTGTTATGGATTATTTCAAAGCATGTCTTTTATAATTTATCTATATTTAATGAGTTCATACATTTTAATACATAGAGTGGATATGTAGTGTGAGTGGGTCAGCTTATAATGGTGTAGGGGCACTCCGCCTGCATTACCTACACACTTTATATATTAAAATGCTTGTAACTCATTAAGTACATATGCTGAAGTTATTATTAAACCATCAAATTTTTTGTAAGAAAATGGCAACAAAATGACTATTTTGAAATTAAAAAAAAAATAAATTATTATAAGAGATAAATGTTAAAAATATACTTCTAATGTTGTCAAAAACTATAAAAATTATTTAAATGAAAAGTAGTGCAAAATATTCAATAGATAGAGTTATTAGATTTTTCAAAATATTGTGGACTTCTCTGTATATAATATCACAGTCTCTATTAGTATTTTAGAGAGGACCCTCTCTGTTCTAATATTAGTTTTAAACATTTTTCGTGGTTTTGTGATTTGGATAGACTAATCACCCTTAAAGTAATTCCTGGCAAATGTAGTTTTAAGATGCCCTGCTGATACTGTTTAGTGGTGTAATTAGAATTATATCTAGGTAGGAGTATTGATAATATTAGACAATTTTTCCTTTCTTAATGAAGAAAGTTATATATTTGACATATTACTTTTGTTAAAGGGGATATGATACTCTTATTACTCTGTAATTATGTCAGCAATACTGTTGGTACCACTGATATAAGGTTTTTTTCATCTTTATGGGTGCTTAAAGAGGCCGTTTCTTTACTTTATATAAAATTTGTTTTGAAGAAAACAATGGTATATATGATAAGTAAAAAAAATTGTACATTCTTATCTTAGTGAACTAAAAATTGTATTTATTTATAATACATAATATTGTATGATGAAAAATATTAAATCAAAAATTTAATATAAAACTTGACTGCAGTTTTTTTTTATATTAAAAATTATACAAGTTTGTACAATTTTTTGTTTGACTATATATATTGAATTGTTAATATAAAATTCAATAGCATAGAAAGATTCAAACTTGTTCATTTTTATATTTGCCTCTCCACATCTTAGGTAAAGGTACAACTGCAGGGCAAGGAACCTGTCCAAATATTTCACAAATGCAATGTTTTTCACACATATAGCCAAAATTGGCAGGATTATCTTTTTTTTCTAGTGCTGTGGCTTCCATTTTTAAAGTTTGTTTTTCTTTACCAAGAACTTGCAGCACATGATCATGAATTTTATCTTTGTCACAGTCATCAACATCTATTAGCATATCACTACCATCAGTAAGATAACATCTAAAAAATGTCAGTATTTTTACTGGCTATAAAATATTATTTATTATATAAATGTTCTTAGAGTTACCTAATTAGGGGTGTTGGAGTCATATTCTTTAATGTTATAACTTGAACATTTGGATTCTTAAATTGAATTTGAGGCAAATGCCAAAAAACAAATTCACGGGTACCTCGATGATTGTCGCCTAGTGTATTATAGTGAATTGAGAATATTTTAACTCGTTCTTTAAAAATGATATTGCCTGCTTCTAAATATTGAAGTGTTCTCCGAATTGGAGCAGCGCCTTTCATAAAAGGCATGTTAAAAAAAAATCTATTTGAGCTGTTTAGAATTTATTTTAATTTTTATAAGAGTATACCACGAAAATATTCAGATTATTTTATCCACAATAATAAGAAATAATATGTCGACACAAATCACAAAAATTTTCTTAACGTATTTCAATTTCTGTAATTTTTGTTATCAAATACAAAAGTTTTACCTATGATACAAAAATTGTTAATACTTATCATACCACATCTATTAAATCAGTGCAAATAAAAGGTTGTCTTACCGGGCTACACTGCCAATACTTAATGGTGTCCTTGTAACTGTATCGATATGAATCCATGCGAGTTGAAGAGTCCGTCATTTAATATTCTAAAGCCTTCTTCATTTGGTTGGAACAACGGTAGTCATGTTCTTATAACTTACAGTTTATTTTTTGTAAAAAGAATAAAACGCATTTTTTTTTATAATTAGAGTATAACAATTTAAAACGTTTCAAAGGTACGTAGTGTATAGGAAATATAATTTATTTGTTTTGTTAAAACTTCGTGTTGAATGTATTTGTCATTTGGTTGATGCAAATGGATAAATATTCACATGATATTTAAGGGATCTAATGGTACAATTTTCCTTTACGATGTTATGTTAACAACACATGTAAATACGCTAATTTTAATGTTTTATTAAAAATCATTTTTAAAATTCATACTCTTCTAAATCTGAATTAAAATAGATTTTTCATATATTTTTTTCATTTTATTGATTATCATTCTATGAGGAATTTTTTTTATTACGGTTAATATTTTTTGATCAAGAAAAAACGATTAATAAATCTTAGTAAACGGTTTTTTTTTATTCTTAAAATTTATCAATTAAGACAATTATTAGTAATATTGATTTTTGAAATTAGAGTACGTTTATTAAATTTTGTTTATAAATTAACTCCAGATGTTAGTTTTATAAGGCTCATATTTTAAATTTTCAATTTTTTGACGCATTATCAAATTCATTGTACCCAAGTTTATCAAGTACAATGGCCCGAAATAATGTCATATAAAAAATGGTATTAGTAATATATTGTAGTTAACATTAACAATGTTAACTTATTGCTTTGGCCAAATATATTGTTTTTTCAAATTTTCTTTAACTTATGTAATTTGTGATAAAGTATATAATAGCCTCTTTTTTTTTTTTTTTTTTTTTTTTAAATGGTAGGTGTACTGTGAATGTGTGTATGTATATAAATACATTTGGTCATAATTGATTCAGTCTGCGTGTTACTATAGTATATAAATTATTATACATATAGCGTCTAAGCAGACACATAGAAACACATTACTTATATTTTTATTAGGATAATTTTTGTTATCTTATTGCATAGTGATGTAACATTGCTTTAAAAAACAGTTCTTTAAAATTTTGACTTCGTTTTTCTGGAAAAATCAAAAATTAAATGTATAATTTTTAGTTCAATAGGTTGAATATTGTAATATTAATTATAATATTTCAAAAATATATAATAAATAAGATGAGTTGTTTTTTTTAAGTAGTGGTTACAGGATTGGAGATAAGTTACCTAAACTACTTTTTCTTTAAAAATTGGCTTACATTATAAAATTGCTGATCTGATTTTTAATTTAACTAATTTTAAACTAGTTTTAAAATTAATTAAAATTTAATCTTTCATTAGCATAGATATACAAATTTAGTCGCATTTTTGTAACTTTGCCTATTACTTTCAGCCTTGTATTAACAAAGTCTTAAAAATTTGTGTTGCATATTGTTATTTTTACAATTTATAATCAATTGTTTATTAATTAAATTAAATTTTTTTTTTTCAGTTAAAATATAACTTGGTGAAGAATTTTTGACAAGAGTGCCTTTTTAATAAAATAACATCAAATTCCATTCTAATATCTAAAATTTTATTTTATTTTTATTATTACAACAAAAAATTTGAATGCTCAAATCATTTGGCAAAGTAATAGGCCAAATTAATTAATATTTGCAATGATTACATCAAATTAAATTGTGTCCACAATTTATTAGTAATAGAAAAACTGACTGCAGTTTTGTGTTTTGTATAAAAATACAGAAGTAATCATATCTTAGTTAAAATAGTAGTGCTTCATTATACTACTGAGTACCCTTTGTAAATGTAATAGAAGTTTAATTTAGTATCTAAGATTGTAAAATCAATTTTTGATAGTTAAGAATTTGAATTTTACAATTTTTTTTTAATATTTTTGCTATTATTTTTTTAGTTATACCATATTAAATTCAGAAGAAATAATCCTATAAAACTATTATAATTATATCCATTTAGAATTTAGAATCGTTTATGTAGTGTAAAGGTTATACAATAAGTAGGACATATAAATTTATTAATCTGTGGTTCAATAAGTTAAAAAATTAATGTTTTACATCATTTCAAAAAAGCAATTTGGAAATGCCAGATGTAAGTTAGTTAAATAGGGTTTTTTTAAAATACTTCATTATTTTCATGATTGAAATGTCATGGTGTTATATTCTAAATTAATTTTTGGTTTAAGTAAATTAATTAGGATACGCTTAAGTCTCAAAAATCCCCTTAAAAAAATTAAAAATTAGTAAAATGTACTGAAATTTTGTAGTTGAATTCAGTAAAAGAATCTGAGTGTGAAGTATACAATAAATAATTGAACAATAATTGTTGTATTGTTTATTGTTGTTGTTGGGCTAACAACAATACAGTTGAATTTTTTGTTAAATTATATTTTTAAAATAAAAGCCAGAGTACAGTAATATTATATTTTATTACCTCTTAGATAGTAATAACAAAAGTTGAAAGTAATTATATATTTGCTGTTTCATAATTAAAAAATGATTGAAGATCCCTGGTGATAGTTGGATTCAATAGTAAGAAATTTTTATGCCATATGAGTTTAATCAAATAAATGTTATGGAATTTAGAAATCTGTTGGTTAACTATTTATGTATTGAATTTTTTTACTATAAAATTCCTGTTAATCTAATATTTTAAATTTGGCCTCTTTATTTATCAAATTTATCTGAATGTTCATTCTCTAAATACGCTTTCGTAGTTGAATCTGTAGTCAATTTTCATTTACTATCATTATTAAAATAAAAGAAAAATTATTATGTAAACGTGGAAAAAAAATTTAACCAATATATAAATTTATGACAAAATTTATGCATTGTACTATATTTATTATAATATATTAAAAGTTCTATTAAATTTAGTAAAAAAAATGCAAAGTATATATAAGTTTTCGTTAAGATATTTTAAGTTTTATAATAAAAAAAAAAATTAATTGTAATACTTACACGATTAAAAGGACTAAAATATTAAGAGAATTAAAAATATTTAATTTATTTGCTGAATATATTTCATATTTATTATTCATTTGAGTATATATATATATATATATACTTGAAAAATACTATTAAAACTATTATATATAAATATATACATATGAAAAATATTTGTTATATTTCTCAGTTTACATGAGGTTAAATTTCATTTTAAAGAAATAGTTTTGCACTACAGCGCTCTTTACAGCGAAATTTTAGCTGTCAAGTTCTATCTATGTGCTAGATAAAATAATTAATAAATTCTATTTCAATTTTTCAGTTGAACTTTATGATTAGTATTTATTAAATAACAGAATTATCTGTAAATTATCAATTCCATTTGTGTTGTAGTATTTTGCACTACAGCGCTCTTTACGGTGTTTTTAACTGTCAAGTTCTATCCATGTGCTAAATTAACTAAAAAAAAAAAGTTGATCAACTTGATTTAGTCTCAATTTGTGAATTTTTTTTTTTTTACATACAAAATTTTTATTTGATTATAGAGAATATTTTTAAGTTTATTATATATATAAGTTAGGACAAAGTTAATAATTTTATTTATTTGTTTGATGACAATCTGTTAATAAACATAATGATAATATTTTGTGTCTTTCATCACAATTATTCAGCTTTAAATGATACACTAAACAAAGCTAAACCAGTAGTTGAAGACTACTGAAAATTGTAATACATCTTATAATTTTTTTTAAGTTAAATATATAAAAATGAAAAAATATTTAAACTTATTTTAATTTTTTTAATGTTTGACCATGTATTAAATTTTGGCATGAAGTTCAAGATAAATAAAAATTGTTTTATCAATACTTTTTGAAAATGACTGCTAAAGTTTAACGCCATTCAATTTTGTGTTAATATTACTGGTTTTTTATTTTCAGTATTTACATTAACTTCTGTAAAAATAATTTGAACAGTAGGATTTTTTTCTGAAAATATTTTAAATTTATAGTTTGTGTAGTGTGCTATTTTTGGAAATGAACTGCTAACATGTACTGGGGCGTTGCAACATGCAAATATTTAAAGACCATTTAAATTTTAGCTTCGATGCGAAGCTGAGAAGGTATTAATTTTACTATGATGTGTTTTTTTTTTTTTTTTTTTTTTTTTTTTTTTTTTTTTACGC